GTTAGTACATGACGCGGTCTTACAATGATTAGTTGCAGAGAACTCGCGGATGCACTTGAATCTCGATTCAGTGCTTATCACGGTTATATCCATTTACTTCGAGTCCCCACGTTACAGCACAAAACATGATGTATTTGGGCGCCCAATTTTGCATGAAGGAGCGAACATGAACAGCTTATTATCTTTAATTGCTCTTCACCGCTCAACTTGCAGTCAGTTTAAGCAACTCCGGAGTATAGGTTGTGCGACGCGCAAGGAAAAGGCAGATCATGTTGTCGAGTGAACGGGCTACCTTGCGGAAGAATTGTAATTGGCAACAGACATATACAGAGTGAGGATACCACGAAGAAAGCAGAAATCCATTAGCTCACATGACCCGAAGGAAGTACATAAGTTGATAATGTTGTAACTAACCAGTAAACACGACAAAAGAGGACCTACTTCCGGTCGTCCAGGTCTGCGATAACCTCCTTTGTCAATTCCGCCAAAAACCGGCCTGAAGTGAAACGACGAGATCAATATCGACAGAAGGTTGGAATAGACGCTATCAGAGAGCGGAAGACGACAGGAGAGAGTTCACAGGGTGCAACAAGAAACAGAATATACCTTTTATGTGGTTGTCAGTCTTGAGAAACACATCCCTTAGACGCGCTTGCCCAAACGGATTATATTTTTGATTGAACAGATCAAAACGTTGGAAACAAGAGCCTGTGCACAAGCGCCTACACGCACAGCGCATATGTATGACCCAGGGCCACACGCTATGTCAAAAGCAGTTCCATTTAGAGCAATATTACTTCGAAACAATTAAATATACCATTTTCCTTCGTGCAAAATATCCTTGCCTTCGTCAGCATGACATATATTTTACATTTTATACGTTCCACTGTCTTACCGAGGGCATGGACATTTAAGTGATCCACTGAAGCTTCGCTTGCACTAAACCCCAGTTCTTGTTGAAACAAGCCCTTTAACGTAATACCCTGGCCGCCTTCTGTGACTACGACCGTGTCCCCCTCCGTCCTGTACTTTTTCCTGGGCAGAATACCATGAACCGTCTTAAGAGTCGCAATAAGCATGCGTGTGCATACGCGTGTCCACCCTGTGGCAACTAGAAAGCGTTATGTACGCGTAGATACNAAATGCATTGTTCACCCCACCAATCCGGCTGTGAATATGAAGCACGCGTCCGTAATTACGTGACAGTGCACACTGCGCGTCTAGCGTGGTACTAGTACATGGCTGCAGAGACTCATTCCACTTTTAAAATGTGTTACGAACAGCCTTCGAAGAGGAGTACGTCTGTACCTGATGAAGCGCAGCAAATGCTTCTGATGCATGCAAGCGGAATGGTGGACATGCGTGTCGACCTTTCGGACATTGTAGAAGTCTCTGTGCTTGTTGTTTTTGGTTTCTTCTATCTCTGCATCTATCACATATGCACAGCATCAATCAAATATGACATTGCATGACAGTGATCGATGCGAGAAGTTTGAGGGGTACTCAGACAATCACGGAATGAGGGCAGCGCGGTGGTCAAGCTATAGCCCGGTGAGAACCAACCGTGCAGAGCTAAGTCCGCGCATAAACCAATAGAGGCATCCCAATCTCGGGAAAGAGCCTCAGGCAGCCGGTTTTTGTGTGTGTTGCATCTTACTGGAGTTAAACATCAGGTGAAAACTGAACTTTCCCTCCAAAAACTTGATTCGCTTGTAGCAAAATGTCTTGCAGGCTGTTCACGCAAAACAAGGAGACAAAGGAACAGCCCTTCAACCGGCACTTGACTCCAAGAAGAATATAAGTCTACATGCGGGACGGTATAATGTACCAATGCACAAATTTTACAGACGCAGGAATTGTAGATGCGACGGGAGCAGACCAACAACCTACTCAGTGGAAGCAGGATGCATATTACAAAAAAACAATTCACAAACGAGAACAATGAAATTGAATGAAAAGCATGACAGCCCACGAAAACGAAACCCTACTTCTGGATTGAAACGCAAGTGTGGGAATAAATCCACGCATGTTATTCTGGCTGCTATACAGTTTTCCATTTGTCATTTCCTCGTGAAGATCCTAGTTCCTAAGCATCCTTATATGCATACTAAACACCTCCAGACACACGCCNCATGTTAGAGCTCTACCAATATGCTGGCATATGCGTAAACAGGGGTAACGGTAAGTACCTGGGTCCTGAACAGCTATCATCACGTCCTGCAAAGCAGCGAGGTATTCTCTAACAGTTGGGATTAAATTGGAGCTCCACAGCAGCGGCGGGTCCCCCGTCTCTTTTTCAGGGTCCCAGAATACCTGGTGTGCAGATGGAAACAAGAAGCAGACGGCACAGCGAGCTAGAGCTTAGTGAACTCTTCGTCAGCAACTGAAATTGCGCATAGATTCTGCACGCCTTCGTTGTATTCAGATACAGACTTCAAATACAAACGACGCAGTACATTATTTCGCACAAAACGAGCGAGCCACAGGCGGTAAGGTCCCTCATCAACCTTCGGCACAGACGGGCAGTTGCGTCTGCTCATAAAAGTTTCTTTCACAACCAATGAGTACGCTCCGTTATCGTGTCATTATACACTCTACACAGCTCCCGTTGTTCCCGATGCCGGAGGCTTACATGCATTACACCGTCAATGAACTTGAACGTGGCCGAACACCCATTTGGGGGTGTGACCGCGAAGGGGTCGAAAAGCGGTTCTTTGCTCATCCCCTCAAATACCTTTTGAGATCCCTCTACACAGCTGTAGCTTCCACTGACGGCGTCCTGTGCTGTGACGCGACTCTCGAGACTGCAATGGGGGACGGTTCTGTCGACCAGTCGAACAGCAGGAGAAAACCGAGGCGTTCGGTATCGTCCTATGAACCGCCAGCGGTGGCCCAATGCATTTGCGAGAGTCTGTACAAAATGCGGCAAATATCGAAAGAGGAATNGAACCGCCAGCGGTGGCCCAATGCATTTGCGAGAGTCTGTACAAAATGCGGCAAATATCGAAAGAGGAATCTAAAATCGTCTGAATAGTCATCTTTACGGCTGCGCTCATCTTCGGCAGCATTTGCAAAGGAGAGCAACGTCGGGCAGCTCGCAGGCAGTTGTAATGAGCAAAGATATGCGTATACCCATTCGACGTAAGGCAAAGCCTAGATGTAGCATCAAATGACGTTCCATCCATCAACGCCTGGGTGCATTTTTCGTTCTCGCAAGCTATTTCTGTTAATAAGTGCAAGTCTCGCAAATATACGTGGGAGGTTTGTCCCTGTTTCTGATCACCTTGACTGCTTGAATGTTTTCATCCGAAGTAGACGCGAGAATCGCCAAGTCTTTACTCGGCTGAAGCTTCACATAAGAAACACCTGACGAAACCAACTGCTTCGGTGCTGACGACAGAAGTGAAGGACCGAAGGTCTCCTGCACGCCATCGTCACTGTCGGCTCTTTTGCTGAAGACCTGAAGGGAAACGGAGAAGCTATGTAGTGGGACATGACAACGAATACTGCAGCGCGAAAAGTTTGCCATCTGTAGCAGAGATGTGTCTGCGGGAAGCAGGGTTCGGCCGCCTGCAGTGTCAAGATGGGAAAAGCGGAAAGTTGTGCGTTGATGGTGATTTACATTCCTGAATATATCGTCCCAGCCAACTTCTTTGCCTATTGAGGACCTTCTAGAAAAGCTGTTTNATTTACATTCCTGAATATATCGTCCCAGCCAACTTCTTTGCCTATTGAGGACCTTCTAGAAAAGCTGTTTAGTTCCATCTCCGGGTAGATGACCCTTGCTCGTGCGATGTGCCGTAGGGAACGTGCAGCCGAAAGACAGGCAATCGCAGAACAACACAAATAAATGAGAACAGAGTCTACTCATTCACGCAATTACATCCCCAACGTAAATAATATTGCGAACCTCGAGGGGAAGAAATAGTCTAGAAAAGCATGCTTTAGTTGTAACTAACGAAAGGGTCGTGGGTGTCTCGAGACAGCCTAGATATTCGCTGCAACAAGTGTGCATCGAAGATTAGATGCGCCCAAAACACTGCCAAGATGAAAAATGAATATGTAATAACGCCTTTCAATAGTCATAGATGTCAATAACACGCATAAATGACAACTGTGCTTCACACACACCCGACATGCAAGGCGGTCCAGCCCCAATCCATCGGGTCTTCGTTTCGTCGTCTCATCGTGTGGTACCTTCTCTCTGCAATTNGTAGGTACAGCATACTCTCTTGTGGGGGCGAACGGGACTCCGCAGCGCTTCCACTTCAGTGAAATGCCCCTCGGGCCCACGAAGTAGGTGGCAATCCCTGCAATTTCTCATTCTGGAATGAAATTGCTGTTTCGCGGGCTGGTGGCCTCAACTTCAGAGCCGCCAACACCCGCAGCGCCGCAGTGGCTGTGACAGCAGGAATAGTAGCACTTACGTACTGGTTTAGGGCCCCAACAACAACTAAAGCAGTAGCTACGGCAGTTATAGCTGTCGCTGAGGCAGCTGCAGTTGCACCGGCAGCTGCAACAGCGGCTGCATCTGCGTGATGCTGTGTGCACGACCGGCAGGAGTAGCGCCAGGTTCCACACAACAGATTCTTTGGCAGCAACATCATTAGAGGGTATCTTCCTCCATCTTCCTCTCTAGCCTAGTCAAATGCATATTGTTTCGGGCAATCAACTGCGCCTTCTCCGTAGCATGGGGAGGCAGGCATACTCCAATCTACCTCCCCCTGTAGGTAATCTTGTTTCGGCACAAAGGATCGCTGGGCCGCATAGAGTATCCGGAATTTGCCTCTCCGGATTATTTATGAATCGTGCACGAGGCATAAAAGAACCGAGCGCCCTTTGTGGTGTGCATTGGGATGCAGTCTCGTGCGCGGCGCTCTTGCCACAGGGTGAGTTGTGTCGTTCTTTCAGCGGGGGCAAGCAGAAATGTGGAGAGACTGCGAAAGAGAAAAGGATGCGTCGAATGTTGAAGAAGCTGAACTACGTAGCGGAAGGAGATGCACCGCATAAGGAAAATACAAGGGACTGGCAACCTCAAGAACACCAGCAAACGAGGCGGGGGCGAGAAGAAAAAGACAGAGGTAGCTTTGACTCAAAGAATACAGAAGCCGAAGCAGAGGCTGCACTAGAAGCAGCGCAGCAGCAAATGAACGGGCACCTAGGTGACCTCGTATCACGTTTGAAAGATTTGGATGTGTCTCGGCCGAAAATAAGCACATTTGAGGATATACAAGTGCAAGTTGCAGGTAATCTTCAAACCCTCAACTCAACGGAACCTTTTGCGCGCACACTTTGTGTTCGTATGCGTGCGTGAGTGAATGCATGAAGCCCGAATCTTGACATCCTTGAACGTGTAAAGTGCAGATGTAACTCGATGCAGGACGGCAACTGCACGAAGAGAGTGGAAGTGGCTGTATATTCCCTCTGCATCATGTCTTGTGTCAAAACGTGACCCAAAACGGAGACGGGATATACAGTCATATATATATATATATATATATATATATATATATATATGACAGTATCCACGTATATAATACATTCAGTGTCGCTTTGTGTAAAAGAGCAGTATACCATAATCTCTTCAAACCAAACACAGCGTAGTTGCTTATATATCCCAGTAGTTCAGACGATGCAATCCCTGACAAGCTGCAGCGCGAAGTAGGATAAACTTTGACAGTGTGTCTGTGGCGCAGTATGATAGAGCAGACTTTCGTTGTCTAGCTTGAGCTTTAGTTTTTTCGCTTGCTTTCCGCATTTAGGACATTGCAGGTCGGCACATTGCACTTGTCTTGTTAGCGAGAAGGAACCGCCTAGTTTTCACTTGAAGACTAGGCGAACAATGTGCCCGATGTTTCCTGCATGCATAGTTGTCTGCTTGTTGTGGATATTGATATTTTGCCCCCCAAGAGTGGGTCGCAAAGTCGCTGGGGACTTTGGGAAGCAACTGTTTAAAGACTGACCTTCTGCTTTTGAGTGTGTAGGCGGCAATAAACGACTGAGTGATTTGGCTCAAGTGCAAATCAAGGGGAGTTCAGTCGTCGTACTTACGCTGTTTTCCGAACAGCATCTTTCAAAGGTATCTTTCCGTACATCTGCTGGGAGCGTCATGCTNTACTTACGCTGTTTTCCGAACAGCATCTTTCAAAGGTATCTTTCCGTACATCTGCTGGGAGCGTCATGCTACAGTTTGAATTGCCATTCTCTGTGCGGCTTCGGCTCACTTTTCGGACTACGTTACCTTCCTTGTTGCGACTTTGTTGGTTAGTGGAGTGTCCGTCAGTGGAGTGTCCGTTACTGGAGTGTCCGTGTGAATTTGCGCAGGTGATTTCAGCATTAAGAAGGACGGATGAGAATTGGAGGATTGTCGAGGACGGACCAGTAACTGTCCGCGTGCAGCTTCCAAAGGTAAACTAGTGCAGGCGAGGGTTTTAGTTGCTAGCTAAATTTCATGCCTGAAGCTGCGAATTAGATGCCGAAATGCACCTGGTGAGCTTTTACCTGTTTCACTTTCCGTGCAGATGACTGAGGACCTGCGGAATTCCTTCATCGCTCAGGCGAAAGCTGCAACAGAAGAAGTCAGTTTCGTTTTTGCCGCGTTTCAGAATGTTGCTTGCTTTCACATGAAGAGCCTGCCTTCTGGATGCATCATATTTATCCGTCTCTTCTCTGTTTGCTACAGTTTCGAGCAGTTGCTGGTGGTTGCTAGTGCTGTTTCTCATTCCTGATTGTGCCGTTCTTTTCCACGATTATCGTTGATGCAAAGTAGTTCTCGGTGTGGCTGGTACGCTGCTTGCTGCTGCAGTGTAAGGTTCAGATCCGTCGGGTTCGCCAAGACACCCGGTCCAAACATCGTTCTCTTTTTAAAGATAGTCGCTTGAGTGAAGGCACTAGGAAGAACGAGGATCAACAACTGCAGAAAATCACAGACGATGCTATTAAACGGGCAGCGCAGTTCCTAGCTGACAAGCTCAGGCACCTGGCTGCTGCTTCGTGCTAGACATGGCTAGCTACAGCTAGCAATTGGCACCCGTGTCTTTCCAGACCTGTCTGCGTGTATATGGGAGGCCCCGCTCTCCAGCTCTACCAACCGTCAGTTGGTAGAGCTGGAGAGCGATGCACTGGATGTAAAGAACATGCGCATATTCTTGAATATTGTCTGAGGATTCGAATGCGCATCTGCTTACATTCATGGGACACAGTACACAGAAATCTCAAATCATTCGGGCGAACGCAAGTGTGCATTTGTCTGCATTGACAATGTTTCCAGATGCTGTATAGCTCCATTGTTTTCTTTTGTGCCTCATTTCTTGTGTCTGACCTTGTGTGTTTGCCCTTCCGCGTGTCGAAGTGTATGTATCTCTGTTCGTTACGTCAGCAGCGCAGTTTGTTGAGCACTGAGTTGATGTTTCTTAGCCTCCAACGGTTCCCCCCCCTACGCGTCCTCCCCAATGGGTTGTCTAATGTTGCTTTTCTTTCTCGCCAGTCCGTGGCGTTTCGTAGGATACTACGTTTTCCCCGTTAGTGTCTCTGGAAGGTACGTAAATTCAACCGGCTTTGGCCATAAATGCCATCCATACCGTTATTCTACGAGTAAGGGGCGGCAGCGCGGCGTCGTTGTATTGTGAACTTACTCATGAAAGACTTCGTGGAGTGCTGCGCAGTCTAACCACTTCTTGCAAGTAGACAACGGTTTTTGTCTGTAGCCATCCTCTGCGCAGTAATTAAATGTACCATTTAATTTGTGGACGAAAGGCATGAATACCTAATCGCATTTTGATGCTGTATTATCCAGATGCACTTCGCAACAAATCCATTCAAGACTCCCAATGATTTTTTGCCATAACCCTTTAACATGCCATTTGGCGCATAACAACGCTGTTCGAATGTAAACATTCAGTCCCAATAATATGCAAACTGCGCCGCTGGCTCTGGATTTTGGTGCTGCAGCTGGTGCATTTGCTTCAGCATGCGTGACCCCCGTATACGGGCCAAACGTACCACATCGCGCACGATAGGTTGTGCATCAGGTTTGCTCCCTAGTGGCGGGTGCGGGCTCATCCTGCACTGCACATGTAGGTTAGTTGGGTCGATATTTGACATCTTCGCAGCTGCTGCAGCTTAATCCGTCGGAGAGCGCAGTAGCAAACAATCATTAGATTTATTAGCGCCCGCTGTACACAGGTTCGCTGCGCAAGTAAGAAGGCGTGCGTGCATGCCCAGACACCTTCATTAACAACTACAACAGAAGATCACACGGTCTAACAACGTGGTGCGGAGCGGCACACTGAAATTATTGCCTAGTCATGAGCACTACAATAAGCAAGGGCAGCCTGAATATTTCCATGCACAAGCAGAACGATAAAAACCATGTTCAGTCAATGCGTGTTCGAATTACATATCTTGTGTTCGAATTACATATCTCGTGGGCCAGTAGCCCATAAAACTGCAGCAGTCAGGATCGTGTCGCTGACAAGACCTTCAGGCGAGAAAGCTTACCCTAAGCTACTCGAACATTAGGAAATGCAAAGTTGTAAACACAAAAAAAGACGCAGTGGGGAAGCGTGATTGGAACATTCAACGCGCCTAGCACAGCAAGCAGTACGACAGTAACCCGATGTACAGTGCAACGGAGAGCAAAGCACAGCAACAATATTTTGTTGCTGTGTTTTGCTCTCCGTTGCACTGTACATCGGGCCACTGTCGTATTGCTTGCTGTGCTAGGCCAGTCGAATGTTCCAACATCCTGATGAGGCTGGAAAAGCAGCGAGAAGAAAGGAGCATTTTATTGATTCCACATAGAGCTGAAGTAGGCTAGTGGCCACTTTCGCCGT